TTTTTTTTTTTTTTTTTTTTTTTTTTTTTTTTTTTTTTTTTTTAGCATTCAGTTTTTCAAGAGGATCATGCTACATATACAAACTTTTTTTACAAACCCCCTTACTCACTACTCCTGACAAGCCGATATTTTTTAAATTCACGTGGGTCTGCTAATTTTGTGAGAATGAGCACACCATTTTGTCAACAAGATTTTGTATAAATATCTTTATCCTTTTTCACAATACTCATACCTTTGTTTACGGATGGAGAATTGGAAACTAAGGATAATTCTAAGTGTACATAATTTGGTTTATCAAATGGTTTGCCTACTCTCAGTCTCTCACAAGCACGTGGACCCCGCGTGAATAAAATAATCCTAACATGTGGTCCCCACGCTCCTATTGTGAGTGTATGCTTTAGGTAAAAAAAAATTAGGTACATCGAGCATGGTCCGTAAACTAATTATTGTTTAAGAGATTTGAGTTTGAAAATAAAGTACAATTGTCAAAATCACATATCAAATCCACATTAATATTTTGTATGTTATTATGATTTTGATTCTTTAAGGATCCCAAAAATAAACAAGCTAAACACTAGTTTTATACAACAACAGAACCTTTTCAGACATTGCGTTCTCCTTGGGAATTTTTTCTAACAATCAAGACCAAGAATAACCTGATTTTTAGTTTTTCATTTTTTTTCCCCTCGAAGTAGTGACATCTATTTTATCTTCCCCAAAAATATTCCAGTCAAAGCAGCTCATATAACTGGCTAACTCAAACACTCTCTACTCGCCGGACTCGCCTAACTCAATCCTCTGGATCACGAGGAATAAACACCACATCCGTACACTTATATGTTTTCTTCTCTTCTCTTCTCTTCTCTCACTTCGTACTCTCTGTTCTCAAGTACATACAAAAATTGAAATTCTAAATAGAATTTATTACTTACATTTACACCGTTCCAAATAGCATTGGTTAATTTTCATTTTCTCTAGCCTTTGGTTCCTCTATTAATTTTAATTTTCCCTTTATCTTAACATGAAACATGCTAAAATTGAAAAAAAATAAATAAAATCAGTAACCTAAATTCCGCGAGTGCCCAAAAATTTGATGCCCAAAATTGAAGCAAAACCTAGTAGTAAAACGAAGACAAAATGGTAAATTACTTACCCTATTGCCGCCGGCGGTGGCGAAGACGTTGAAGTAACGGGAGTCGATAAAATTGAAGGCGACGGCGTAAATTGGACGTTTGCCTTCTTGGAGTCTGTTTGTGACTCTATACTCCCTCTTCTTCGACGGCGTTAGGGATCCCACCACCGGCTCGCAACCCAACGAGATTTTCGCCATTGATTATCAGTTTTCAGTCAACCCCGACAGCTACTGCTTGCCTGCCTGCTTACAAGAAGAAAGTCATTGGCATGGTTAAGGGTCACGAGAGAGATTTTTGTGCGTTTAATTATTTTTCATTTTTAATATATTAATGCAATAAATTAATTTAAGGTCCTATTTTATTCTTATTATTTGTCCATTAAAATAAAAAAATACGATCATTATCTATCACATCAAGTTACCATATTTAACTTTCTATATCTTGTGTGGGGTCCATAATGATTATATTTTTTATTCTCATTCTTATAATAATGTGTGTCAAACGGGGAATGAATTTGTCTTCAAATGTTGCTGCTTGGATAAAAAAGGGTTGTGCTTCTTTGGTCGGAGCAGAAGCTCGACCAAAAAATCAAGATTCGGCTCAAACCTTATCGTGTTGAGACGACTTGTGGTTCCCCCCGCCCCCCACACTTTCTTAAGTCGTGAAATTCAAAAAAAAAAAAAATATTTAACAATATAATTATGTGTAATCTTGGAATACGATCATTTGTTCTAATATTAGACACATCAAGTTACTCCTTTGAACTTTTTAAATTTCGGTTTATATTAAGTCCCTTGTTTGATATAATTAAAAATGAAATTTTTAGTAAATTTAATAAAATATTATGAAATGTATGGTGGATGAAAATTTGTAAAATTTATAAATGGAACCATTCTCATGCTTATAAATTTGATACACTTATTTGACAAATAATCGCAACATTTAATTTAATCAAACATTTAATATTTTATGGATCTCAAATGTAAATAAAAAACTTTCTCATAATTTTAGTGAAACACATACCAAATGTTGGTTTGATTTAAATTAAAGATCACGATTATTTGTCAAAAAATTTAGCATCTCAAATTTACGAGTAAGAGGAACGGTGCCAATCTATAAAAAATATGATTAAAATCATTTGTTGGTTTTTACTTAATTTTTTATTAAAATTTTAATTTTTATTATTAACACAATGTATGATTAAATACGATTCAAAGTGACATTCCTAGTCCTATTTGATTTAGATACAATAAATTATTTTAAACGCTATTAGAATAAATAATTTTAAAAATAATTATTGTCTTTAATTTAAATATTATTGTATTTCATTTTTTAAATTGAGCCAAATAGGACATAATTATCTATTAAATACGATATTATTAAGGCCTTATTTGAGTCCCATTATTTCCTCATTAAAATAAAAAATATGATCGTTATCTATCATATCAAGCCATCATATTTGATTTTTTATCTCTTGTATGAAACTCAAAACGATTATATTTTCCATTCTCATTTTTACAATAATGTGATTCAAACGTGGCTAAATAAATATCTTCTTATTTGCTTTTGGGCTCCATTTACTCCCAAGATATCATGCTCAATTCTAAATAGTCTCTACTCTACTCCTCTAGCCCTTAGTCCATCTCAAGAACAAAGTTCCTTATCCTCTTCTCTTTTCATGGCTTCCAATGTCCTTCAACTTCTCCATCATTCACACCCTTCCCCATTAATTCGCCCCAGCTCAACCCAAACACCTGTAAATTTATCATTTCATATAATCAGTTCACCCCCAAGGAAATTCTCGATCAAATGCTCTTCGAACTCAACACCTGAACCTGATTTTCCTCTTCCCCCTCCAGGTTCTGAAACAACCATCAGCCCTGAGAAGTTTCCTATAGAAAAACGAAGAAGATCGGAGATTATACGCGAAAGAAAGTCGAGAACCGGCATCTTCAAACCCGAGCCACCAAATTTTGAGATAGGATGGAAAAGAACTAAGCCTATTCCATTGGAGAAGCCTACAGGGTATGTGATTATGGACTTTTTAGAAAAGCTGCTAGAATTGATGGACAAGGAATTTGGTTCGACAGCACTGTTGGCGAAGGTCGGGGAGATTGTGGCAGAAAGAGCAAGAGAAGAAGCTGAAATACTGAGAGATGAAGGGAAAGTTGAGGACAGAATGATTACTGAATTGTTTAGAGTTTTGAAGCTAGTGGAAATGGATTTGGCCATGGTTAAAGCTGCAGTGAAAGAAGACACACTGACTGACAGACTTCAACAGGCAAAGGCAAGATGTAGACAGGCAATTCTTGTAGCCAATTCCTTTTGAATGTTGCTAATAATGAGAAAAATATAGAGGCGGGTTTGAAATCTTGTTCATTCTAGTGTTGAATCTATCAGCATATCGAATATACCTTGAATCTGCGTGTGCATCATAGAACCGGTTGATGCTTTTAGAAATTTGTATTTGAAATGTTGCTAATATATAATGTTTAGGCATTGCAGAAAATAACGAGGAATATGTCTAGGTAATGGCATACTTATAGTAAACTTCAGAAGTTATCTGGCTCATGTCCCTCGGAAGTTAACCATAAGGGTTGCTCGAGGTAAATGGTCCCGTTATGCCACGAAAGTAGCTCATATTAGGGCAGCAAAACAAGGAGTCTTAAGTTAGACTTGAGAGTTCGCATTAGCCACATACCATCAGCCAAAATAACACAGAGATGCTAAGCTCAGTGTATCACATAGCACAAAAATTACACAAAAAAATTCTGCCCATTAAACTTTGCAAAACTCACAACAAAACAACCAACACACTAGAAAACAGCAATAGTAGAAGGTGGCAATTACGCTCCGGTGAGCCGGATTTCAGTTCAACGCCTTTCTTTTTGACTTTCTTACCGGAATCGTTCACCTCGATATGAGCCCCGACCACCAAATTGTGTTTCTTGGTATACCAAAAAATGATCTTGAACCTCACCTTGGTGGATAAACCCACTCTGAAAACTGAGACAGTCCCATTTGAAACATTTTTAAATGCCGCCTCCCACGAAGGTCCATGAGCCTCCACCACCAATTTCCGGTGAGCCTTCTTCCCGTGACCCTGGTGAAACCCGGGAACCGTGTAGTTGGCGATTGGAAAGCTAGTGTTTGGAGCGTAAAAAAAGATTAAGCTGATGTTATCATAGTACACTGCCTTCTCTTTCATTCCATAATCGAGCATGAGGTCAAAGAATATGCTGTTGTTCCTATTACCGATCGAATGATCGGTCTTGTTAAGAACAGGCACATATAAATCTTGAATGGAGCACGTTGGTTGGGAGGTACGTAGAGCTAGCCACAAAAACAGAGCAGCGAAGCCGGATGTGACTATAAAGCGGCAACATATGCTGCTACAAGGCCTACAACCGCCGCCCTCACCATTGTCCGACATGTCGGAAAAGATGTTTCCGGTGATCAACGGCGAAGAATCCTTGACTTTGTTAAACAATTAAATTGGGAAGTTGATAGTTTGAGGAAATTATTTGGTTAGATAGATCAGAAGGATATATACAGGGTATTTAGGTTGGTTTCGTGGAAGAGATAGAGAAGATTTTTGTATTTCTCCAGTAACGCGGCATAACATGGGGTCCATGAAAGTGGACTGTAAATAACTAGATGCTTTTAACTTTTTTAATAAATGATAACGTTGCCTTTTCATTCAAACTAACATACGCATAAAGAACTAATAAATCTGACTCAGAACATGAGGTGGTTTTAATTTGAAATCATATCGAAATTCCCAAATCAAGAAACCCAAACTCAAGATCGATAAATAATCAAAATAGTTGCATTATCAATTCTGAAAATGCAAAATGATACCGCTAAGTTATCAGGATGTGCATTGCAGTTTGCACCCTCTGCGAAAAAGAAGACTATTTTTAGGGACATCATGTTATTTATAATGGCTACAGAAAACTCCGGATCCATTTAGCTATTTCCATACAAAAGATCATAATAGAGCGATTCAAAGAACAAACTTATGAATCGTCTCATCTTAATTGTGTTGTTCGATTAGAGTTATGATCTTTGGAAACTAGATTATATTTTTAGTGTTGACACACTAAAAGTGCAACCCAAATCGAATAGCCCAAGGAATGAAGCCAAACTGGACAATTCAAGATAAAGGTCCAGATAGGGTTATTAATGAATGTAGTGGAAGCCTACGAACATGGTAACATCATCGCCCAAGCCTGCAAGACGCCCAAGATCTGAGCGAATGAAGTGCCTTACAGTCGCCCAGAGTTATGACCCTGTTCTCGCCCAAACCTTCGAATCACCCAGAATCTTAGCAAACATAAGATATTATGGTTATCCAAAAATGCAGTTAAGCAGTTATTGAGTAACCTTATCACGTTCCACGATTCAAGGAGTTCAGTTGAAGACGGTTGAACGACAAAGAGTAGTGACAGCAGTTCCACGACAAGTTAGCCACCATAAAGAAAGTGGGTAGTTACAAAGCAATCAAACAGTTTTTAAGCGGTTGATCACGAAAAAATCATCAAGAGAATATAAAAGGAAGAGAAGACATAGAGCAAAAGACCCCGAATCAAACACTCTCAAATAGAGAATATGTAATTTCAATTTCTTATTTTAAATTTAAACATTTCTTTTCAGTACTCGTGTGCTTGCGCTCTTTGGAGGCATTATGTTTAGTTCCAATTGTAAAGTCATCGCCCATAAAACACCCATTTTTGGAACTTTGTCTTGAGAGGTTTGTTCCTTACACAATCGTCTGATTTTCTTTTTAATTGTTAGCGACTACCCGCGCGAAATAATTTGGCACGTCCAGTGGGACCTTGGTGTTTGGTGTTGAAGATACAAAAGGTAAAACAATATGTCTTAGAAATCTAATAAGGAAGCTAGTCAGGGAGGAGTCCAGTCTGTGATTGAGCGATATGAGGAGCAGCATAGCTCTCCACGAACAGATGGACAGAATTAGAGCAGTTATAGTCATTACGAACCAATGACAGAGTTGAGTCCTCGAACTATGCGTGCATTACTTGGAGAACTCACACAGGATGTCGTTGAACAGGTAAATCTACGAAATATTCATAATATGGAAAGATTTACCCAGAATGGGAATGCACATTATGACAACATGCCCAAACAATTGAATATTTTGAATGAAATAATGAATAAGTTAGTAGGCCAAATTTGTCAGCCAGTTGTGCCTCTTGCAAATCACTTCCAAGCTAGGATAATTGCGGGACATAATTCCCCAGTCCTAAGTCCAAATCAAGGGGTAGAATTACCTTTTGGTCCCTCTACTTCAAACCAGGGGATGGTGTAATGCCAAATCAGAATAGTGGCAATGGTACATCTAACTTGGGGGTAACCTAAACGTAAGAGACAATGTCCTAAATAATGGACAGAATGCCTCACGTGTTAATGATGGAATAAATATTCAGGCTAATGGTAACAATGACCCAAATCATGGCAACTTTGTTGCCAACCAAGGACCAAATATCAGGCCTCAAGCAAATCAACCGATCAACCAACCGGTAGGAATTTCATATGACCCCAACGTTATGTTGAGGAATCAAATTATGGAAATAGTACAGGATCAGATGGTTTTTGGGGTACGTCCTGTCATCAGGCTGACTTACACAAAGCCATAGCCTGATTGGGTAGACCAAGCATATCCATGGCCTAGAAGGTATAAAGTGATAGAATTCTCACTATTTACCGGTTTAGGAGAGGTGTCTACTCTAGAACACATAGGGCGATTCACACTGCAAAGTGGTGACATAACTAATTACCATAAAATGAGGCTGTTCCCTAGTTCATTAACTGGAGTAGCTTTCTCCTGGTTCATCAATTTGCCAGCGAACTCTGTTCAAACATGGCAACAATTGGAGCAATTGTTCCACGCTTAGTTTTATAAGACTAAGTCCGAAGTTACTTTGGCCGATTTGACGAATCTACGTCAAATGGCAAACGAATGGGCAGAAGGTTTCCTTCAAAGGTTCAAGACAATAAGAAGTACATATTTTGTACCTTTGCCCGAAAAGGAGTTTGTCAAAATCGCTCAAGGTTGTCTAAACTTTGATTTGAAAAAGAAGTTCCAAGACAAGGAATTTCCTGATCTTTTTCAATTGAGTGCGAACGTGATTAGGTATGAACAATTAATAAGAGAAGAAGAGCAAATGAAAAATTCTAGTAAGGGGACTTATAATAGAAACCCAAATTTTGATATTCATACCATTAATGACGAGTATTACGATCAAACCGAAATATGTTTGACCGAATTAATCAAAGGAGACGCGTATATTTGTCCTATAATGGCTAAACCTAGACCGTTGGGCAAGGATGAGCCTATAAAAGATGAAAACAAAAAGGTTAGAACGTTCCCGTTCGATGTAACCAAAGCTGACCTTATATTTGATAAACTATATAAGGATAAGCAGATAAAGTTGAGCGATAAACATAAATTGCCAAGCCCTGAACAAGTTAAGGGTAAAAAATATTGTAAGTGGCATAATGCATGGTCACATTTGACTAATAACTGTTTGGTTTTTCGCCATGTGTTACAAGATGCCATTGAATCAGGACGAATTACGTTCGAGGATAAGAGGAAGATGGCAGTGGATGAAAACCATTTTCCACAGCCACTTGGGGTAAATATGGTGACGATTGGTTTCAAAAACAAGTTCCCAAAATTCAAGTTAGTTATAGATGACGGTGAAAAGGACCCTGGACCATATCCCAGTGTCTTTGAACGTATCAAAGGAAAGAGCTTGAAAAGGATGAAGACGTCTTGTGTGCATGATGTAAAAGAGAAGTGAGTGGGAACACAGAGAAACCAGGGACATGGCAGCATCACCATCGCCCTAGTTTTTTCCCAAATGCTTAGCCTGGTAGAGGGCAAGGTACATCATTCGGGGACCGTCTTTTGAGAGGCAGTTCAAGCCAATAATTAATGGGAGAACATTCAGGCCGCAGTCTCGCCAACCAAATGTATGGCATTCGTTCCAGTATAATGCAGAAAGGGCGATACCCTTCAACGAGGTGGCTAGAACCCAACAAAGGCGTTTTCAACGGAACTATGGACGGATGATGAGGTAACAATAGGGAATGCAACGTTCTAAAGCGCCTAGACTACTTGAGGTAGCCAATCAAAATGTTTTCAAAGACAGTGAAGAGACTGGTACAGGTGAATTGATGAAAGAATTGCCAGAGACTTCTTCTGGGAGATCGAAGTTTGAGCGAGACAGAAAAGATGGAGAAGATCCAGATCAGTCCCTTACTATTCAGTTCGGTACGTTCCTCCTGTCATGGTTAATAACTATTTGCTAGCCAATGAGTTCAACAATAAAGAGAAAGAAGAAGAAGAGAGGGAGGATAACGAAGAAAAAGCATGCGTACTGGAATATGAAGAAGGCCAAACTTCTAGAGAGGCCTACGATGATGAAGGAGATGATGGTATAATGGATATCGAAGAGGAAATTGATATGGAAGCAGAAAGAAGAAAAAGAGGAATATCGTACAATACTTTGTTGAAGCAACTACATCGAGAGGGGGTTCGTGAAATGGACTTGTTGGGGGAACCGTGTGGGCGTTCTTTTGATTATTACGTGCTGTACGGGACGCCCAAAAGGGAAAAGAGAGTTTCTCGCTCTGAAAAGTATGGATCACCTCCAAGAATAATACCTCATCCCACAGGTTAGGTAACTGAAGAAGAAGCATTAGAAAACAGTAAAAAGGAAATTCAGGAAACGGAAGCTCAGTACGACATGCTGCACGTTGATTTATCACAAAAGGATAACTCGACAGAGGACAAGCAGGAAGTGGAAATAGATGCTGCGAAAAAGGTTATTTTTAAGCGACCAGCCATGAAGTTAACTAAACACTTGAGGCCATTGTACATTAAAACTCTACTTAATGGCATGCCTGTGACAAAAGTGCTTGTCGATAATGGAGCAGCTATAAACATCATTCTATTTAGAATGATGAGGAAATTTGCAAAAACAAAAAATGATATGATCCCAACAGAAGTCGTCCTTACGAGTTTCAATGGAGGAGCAACTTCAGCTAAAGAGGTTATGCCATTAGACATAACTCTAGGGAAAACTACTAGGACCACAGTCTTCTTTGTAATAGATGGTCCTACTAGTTACAATGTGTTAGTAGGAAGGGATTGGATACACGGAAGTCGCTGTATACCCTCATCACTCCATCAATGTCTGGTTTTTTGGAATGACAAAGGCGACGTAGAAGTGGTGCAGGCCGATCATAGGCCTTTTGTCGTAGAAGCAAACTCGGTGGAAAGGTTCATGTACGAAGGAAATTATGTACCTGTCAGAGTAGTCCAAGATGGAGAAAAAACTCAAATTGTTGCACAGAGTGAAAAGTCGTTTTCGGTAGATACACTCACTGAAACATTCGGTCAAATGAGGCCAAACATAGTGGCCCTAGAAGAGCCAGTAATTGGCAAAAGAGTAATCAAGGAGTTTTGAATGAATTATAAGCAACAAAGGCAAATGATCGATATTTAGGCCTTCAAAGCCAAATTAATGGCTTTCAATAAATAATACAAGGACAAGACGAAAGAAGAAGTAGCCTTGAAAGCATTGAGAGACAAATTGACAGCGTTCGAGTTGGAACAAAATATAGATCGATAAGTCAA